TTCCCCTACCACTGAATTGCCACCAATTCCTGTCTGTCAAATTGCTGCTGATGCCTCAGCTTTGTGGGTCAGGTGGAATTGCCTAGCAAACCAGATCCAGTGGGCAATAGGCTGCCAACCCCTGGCCTGCACAAAGACAAGTCTTCTCCAGCATCATCATCGGCAATCCCTCGCAGTCAAGAATAATCATCTTCCACAATTGTTTTATCTGTGGGTCTGAAGATGGCTGATGAGGCCAGTCTGGGATCAACAGATTCTGTTGCAGCCGGGGCACATTTGTGTGGGGTGGGTAGCTCTGGGTTCTTGTTTCAGTCCATGTCACACTGTTTCTGCCACTTCTGTTTTTCTGTCTTCTATTGTTATCATGCCATTTCAAAGTATTGAGATCCTTGCAGCAGACCTTGGGCCGATGAGAACAGGATGGGGTTCAACACTGACAAGTGCAGGATAATGCACCTGGGGAGGAAGAACCAGCGGCCCACCTACAAGCTGGGGAACTCCCTTCTTGCCAGTGTCGAGACAGAAAAGGATCTTGGAGTCATCATTGATGCCACAATGAACATGGGCCGACAAAGTGGGGACGGAGTCAGGAAGGCCAACCATACCTTGTCGTGCATCCACAGATGCATCTCAGGCAGGTCCAAGGAGGTGATCCTCCCCCTCTATGTGACACTGCTCAGGCCGCAGCTGGAGTACTGCATCCAGTTCTGGGCGTCACACTTCAGGAGGGATGTGGATGGCATCGAGAGGGTCCAGAGGAGGGCCACCTGCATGATCAGGGGTCAGCAGGGCAGGCCCTATGAGGAGAGGCTGAGGGAAATTAACCTGTTCAGCCTCCTCAAGAGAAGGCTGAGGGGGATCTAGTGGCAGTCTATAAACTAGTCAAGGGGGACCAGCAGGCATTGGGAGAGTGCCTGTTCCCCCAAGCAATCCCAGGAGTTACAAGAAACAACGGACACAAGTTAGCGGAGGGTAGTTTCAGGCTAGATATCAGGAGGTGCTATTTCACTGTCAGGGCGGCTAGGACCTGGAACCAACTTCCAAAAGAAGTGGTGCTGGCTTCTACCCTGGGGGTCTTTAAAAAAAGGTTGGACGAACATCTGGCCGGGGTCGTTTGACCCCAGTACTCTTTCCTGCCACGGCAGGGGGTTGGACTAGATGATCTCCTCAGGTCCCTTCCGACCCTACCAACTATGAAACTATGACTCTTCCTTCATTTGGGGCAGGCCTGGGTAATAGTCTTCCATGAGCTGATATTGATGCTACATGTTTTCCAAGGTGGCCTTGAGGACACCCTTGAAGTGCTTTCTTGAGCTCATGCCTCGACTGAGCTGGGAGAATAAAACTTATTTTGGGAATCTGGAGTCGGACATCAACGTGACATGGCTGGCCCAGTGAAGTTGATGTTGGATGATCATCACCTCAATCCTCATGGTGTTTGCTTGCAAGAAGATGCTAATGTTGGTGCATCTATCTACCCACTGGATTCAAAGGATCTTCCACAGACAGCATTGATGGTACTTCTCCAGCAACTGGTGGCGTCTCCTGTACATTGTCCACATCTCAACTCCATAGAGTAAGGTGGGGATCACAACTTGTTGATAAGCCATGAGCTTGATTTTGGATCTGATGTCACAATTTTTGAACAACACCTGTTTACTCAAAAGTCTGAAAGCTGCACTTGTACACTTGAGGCAATGTTGGATTTCTTCATTCATGTCAGCCTTCTGTGAGAGATGGCTTCAGAGGTACAGGAAATACTTCACATGCTCAAGAGTCTCATCATGAATCTGTATTACCAGAGCTGGAGATTGCTTATTAACCTTAGTCTTCTGAATGCTAAGCATCAGTCCCATTGTCTTGTATGCTTCCATAAAAACATCAATGATTGCCTGAAGGTCTGCTTCTGAGCAAGCACAGACAACAGCATCATCAGCATACTGGAACTCAATGACTGAGGTCAGGGTGGTCTTGGTTTAGGCTTCGAGGCAGCTTACCATCCCAAACTTTCTTCACACCCAGGTTGGCTGCACTACTTCTAATTGTGCTGCCACAGCTAAAGCAATACAACTTGTGCCTTAGTATCGAGGAAAAAAAATCTGAGTCTCAAATGGAATGTAAGTACCCGAGCACCAGATTTTCAAAAGGTATTTAGGCATGAAGCATCTTCAGTGTCTACCTCCCATTGGAATCAATAGAAGGAAACTCCCAACTTGCTCGAGTGCTTTTGGAGACATCTATGAGAACTCTCCATCTCTAGGTATCTAAACACACTTGATCACATAGCCCTAATCCATTGCACAATTTAGGGCCCTTACTGTTTGGAAGACAGGACAGTACATAGATGTTTTGGAAGTATCTGGCCACAGGCAAGAGAGCGGCAGAAGCAAGAAATCCTCCTATTGTATTTGTTATAAAATGAAGTGAATTTAAACATCTCAGGTGACGTGCAACAAAATCTGGTTAAGAACACAAGGCCATAAGGGGGAGTGGGGAAAAGGGGAGGACGGTCAAACTAAAAGGGCTGTGATTGCCCTGCACTAATGGTTAGGAAAAATACATGAGAGCTATTCACTCCGATGAAAGTAGCCCAAACGTAGCCTCCAGAGCAGAGGCCTATTGTACACCCAATGCACTAAGACCCACAAGGCCTCCGGGTGTTATGGCATGCAGTACCACATGAGTGTTGATGTTTTGCACATGCACACACACGGGCCTCACTCATTCTGCTCTCACTGAGTGCTCTGGAGTTACGCTGATAACTGGAACCAGACACGAACCTTCTCTTTACAAACTGCCAAGCCAAGGAAAATTAAACACATCAAAATCACTTCCCTTCCCCACCCCCAGGTCCCTTGAGCATTCCTGCCACTTCCCTTTCTTCAGAAAGGCTGCTCGTGACCCGGCAATGTTGTTGACACTAGAAAGTTCATACCAACACAATTGTAATGGTACCAGCCAGAAAGGCTGTGGCACAGTTAGGGCTCAGGTGTTTTCAGCCTGACCAGGAGAGGGTGAGATGACATAAGTCCCATGTACACTACAGATACCACAAGCAGACGTGAATGGCTGGTGAGCTACAGATCCAGGCTTCGCCCACTTGTCCCAGAAGCTCTCCCAACTTTATCATCCCCTTCTCACTGAGGGTTTCATCTCCTTTCTGGCTTTTCCTCTGAAACCTTTTGTGACCAGAAGTAACTTGTCCCTGCATACCAGTTAACACACTAGCACATTACTTGGGAGCAATGCTGACATTTGATCCATTCCACTTTAGTGGAGGCCCCTTTGCCAGGAGGCAGCAGGCAGCTGTGCCAGCTGAGGAGAGAGCATGTGCTATACCAGAAGAGAAAGAAAATAAATGTAGAGGGACTGGTAATGCCCAATTGATGCCAGGACAAACACCTCCACTGCAGAGCAGGGTAGCAGCTGCCCTTCCGCTCAGAGCTGGAGATCCACACAGCCCTGCCATTACAGGAATGCACCCCGCAGCTAGTTCCTTCAACAAATCCTAGGCGCTCACACCAGGACTGAACCAGAGGCATGGGACCTGACTCCCTTGCCCATCTCCTGCTTTACCATAGTGCTCTGCCCCTTCCCCTTGAGTTTCCCACTACCTAGGCCAATCTGATTGCTGAAGAAGCCCTTCAACCCCTGACTCATGCAGAACATGCAGGACTACGCTCCCAGCCTTCTCCTGACAACAGGCCTCACAGCAAGTCTGCAACATAGTCCACTTACTGGGACAGGAGACTGATCACCCACCTGCTCCAGGGCCCCTTCAGACTTCATCCTCTCTGCTTCAAGGAGCAATGGGAACAGTAGTGGCAAGGGTGACATTTGCTGTTCAGTGACAGAGACACCTGTCATGAGGAGCCACCCTAGGCCCCCCCCCCATCTCCATCACCCACCACAGCAGATGGGTAGGAACTAGTTCTCTCCACTGATCTGAGCTGTCCCCAGAGCAGTGGGTACAAAGGGATACAAGCTGACTTTATGAAGCACCTCCTTCCATTTGGTACACTCAAACTGAGTTTTCACAAGGACTGCAGGCAAGACAGGCTGCCCAGTTTGAGGGGGCGCATAGCTTCCTTGTGCCATACTGATAGAGAAGCACGATGCTAATGTGTTCCTCAAGAACCATGGCACTAACTCCATATAAGCCAACCTCATTTATAGTAAATCCCTGTCCCACCCCCATTCCCCTTGTTAACTCCACAGGAGGAATGGATTTTTACCACACACTGACTTAACCCTGTTATAGCAAATATCCTCTTCTCCCATCTCCCATGGGGGTCCATTACAAAGAGGTGACACTATACATTCCATAGAATGAAAGGTACTGAAAGCATCTGCAGTGCAAAGCAAGAAGCCAGTGGAGTCTAGAAGGGAAGGCCCTAACCAGCAACTCTGGTATCATTAAGACCACTAGAAGGCTGCTCCCCATTTACTGCCATTACTTTCCCACCCCCAGCCTTGCCTACAGGACTGCTGAGCCAGAAAGTTCACTTGACACAAGACACAGTGCTCTTTTTCCCAATTTTTCTCATTTAATTACCATTATTGCACCAGCACATCTTATGCTTTATATACATATATCTTTAAATTTTTGCTTCAGATTCTCAAATACATAATATATTATCTCCAGAATACTAAGAACACAGAGGAAGAGGCTCCTGGTTAGTTGTAACTGACACTATTAAACTTCCTTAGTTTTTGGAAACTGATACATCATTGAAATGTCAGGACCTGCCCCAATATGGTAGATTTGAGCCAACCACCAGGGCCCATGATCTGGCTTAGACTGCAGGAAAGGGGACAATTAGTAGTTTACACCCCCAACACATATAGCAAATTCACTAGACATGAAGCTTCCCAGGCAGGGAGCCAAAAGAAAGCACAGAAGATTTGGGAACAATGCTTGACAGGGGAAAAACACCTGTGGAAGCTGAAATGGGTGGCTATTCAAAATATATCCATCCATAAAAGCAATCTGGTCCCCATTTCCACAAGTGGAACTGCAGTGGTGCTAGACTTATGTAGCACAGACTTGCCTTCCCATAGCGCTGGGCAGTTTGCTTCCCAACACTTTCAGCACCAATGAGCCTGCAAAGAAGTAAAGGGTGGACAATTGCAACAAAGGAGAGGAAGAGGGTTGAGACCACACTGAAGTGTGAGTGGCTGACTAGGTACTCCCCTTGGAGAGCTACAGCCAAGAGATAAGAAAGGTGGAAGGTGGACATCGTGTGCAGTTGGACATGCTTCCAGAATGCATAAGTGTTATCTATGTGTGTAAGGAACAGGGAGGCGTCTCCCTGTGCAGTACAAGTCTAGTGTTCTAGCAAGGGGGTCGTCACCTACAGGGACTCCACTAACATGGATGCTGTGGAGGCAAGCAGCAAGGGCTCTACTGCCCCATCAAGATGCCTGTAGTAGCAGGCAAGCTACTATGCCTACTCATGCAGCTAGGGGATGGAGACTGGGGGGAAAGACAGCAATACAAGGGACTCAGGGAACCTCACCTCAAGAGCAAGGGAGAACATTCAAGAGCTATCTGCCTCAGATTGCATACCCACTGAAAAATTGGAGGGACAAGGTTGGGGAGGGAGTGGATTTAGGGAACATTAAACACACAGGCACAGCAACTGAGTCTATTAAGCAGAAAGGGTTAAAAGAAAAAAACACAATCACATTTTCAGGGAGGGGCAGGAGAGAAGAGATGCAGCTCTGAAAGTATCTAGCCAGCAATTAAACCCTCCCTATACTGAGCATTTGTAAGGGGAGGGGGTCAGGAGGGAGAGAGGGCTATACATATGTCACCACAGCAGGAGGCACATAGGTGACACAGGGAACTATACTGCATCCCGATTTCATCTCTCAACTAGCTCTGCCAGGTTCAGATGCCTCCCAAGACACATGCAGCAGGCGGGGTGGTGTGTACAGGAAGGCACTGCGCTGACAGAGGTGGGAAACGCCCAGCAACCAGCTACAGCATGAGAGAAGCTGCTCCAGTCTGAAAAAACAGGATCTCTTTCCTTTAAGTATATTTCCAGTTAAAACAGCTCGATCGCTTTTTAACGATTTCAGTGGGAGGGCAAGGATGGCAGAGTTTGAGGGGGGCAGAAGGGAAGGTATGGACATCAAACTCAAGAGAACCTCACACAAGCTGAACGAGAACATTGTGAGGACACAAGAGATCCGGGGCTGCGGCATGCAAGGGGCAGGCCAGGACATGGAGCTAAGCATGTCCTTTCATAAAGAGATATGGATGCCCATCTAGAACAATACCTATGTGTCAAAGGAGAGCGAACAGTGCAGGAGGGGATAGAGCTAGCTCTATATTAAAACCCTCATTCTACAGGACAGAGAAGTAGACAAAGTGCTGGTCTTGGGCCATTACCATTTGAGGGCTGCAGCTGGCCAAACCCACAAGTGTGCTGTATTCCAGAGCCCTCCACACTTCAAGCCAAGCTGCAGTGACTTGGTCAGTGCTGTAGACTTCTGGGGCAGAGGAGCTGGCCCAAACTGGGGGAGCTGAAGAACAGAAAAATCCAAATGACACATCCGTTACCCCACAAGTGATAGCATGCAGCACTCAGGCAGGTGAGAGGACACCAACTCCTGCCTCCCTCTTGCTTTTGTGCACAATTTAGAGATGGTCCCTCAGGGCTTGGTGATCTCTGAGGAGCCAGACGTCCGTTTTGACTGAAACGGAAACTTTAAAAAACAGGTGGCAGGGAGGGGAGGGTGGAAAATAGGATTGTCTGGAATTTTCTTTTTTTGTTTTGTTTTGTTTTTTGATTGAAGACTTGAGAGGTCTGGACCCCTTTCCATCCACTTGGTGCTTCCAGCTCCTCATGGTCAAAAATCAGCCTGCTTCAACTCTGCAACACTGGCCATTCAGAACTGGACCCAGTTGGACTGCTGAGGGGCTTGGCTGGAAACAGTGCTGAAAGAAAAACAGAAGTCAGAGGGGAGTGATCCCAGCTGAAAGATTGCAGACCAGCCCACTCAACCCCTCACTCCTGCCCTGTAACCCCTGACTAAGCCAGCCCTAAACTCTCCAAACAGCTCTGCCAGTGCCCCTCACTGCTGCCCCACAGTTCTCCCTCCACACCTACTCTGTCCTCTTCCCAATAATCACCTGGCTGCAGTGCTGAAGTCCCCCCAGAGGTCTGTGGTGGCTGGAACGGCTGAAGGTGCTGGTGCCTTAGAGACTGATGCAGGAGAGTCCAAATCTAACAGGATATCTGAGAGCAGAGGGGAACACAGAGATGTTTGAGATCACTGGCAAGAGGGAAAGTCCTGGAGTGCTCAGAGCCTTGCACCTTACTCGAGAGGTCTTTCTTCTGGAGCTACTGCAAGATTGAAATACACTGATTTCTTGGGCAGCTGCCTTTTGAAGATGGGCTGTGAAGGTACCAAAACAAAACAGCTGCTCCACTTGCTGAGTCCCCAGAAAACCACCAGTTGCGTTCTGTTGCAGGCCCCATGCTCATGACCCATTATCCCAGCCAGCAGACTTGGGGTCACACCAGCTGCTAGACTGGAATGGAGAAGCACTGATCACAGCTGGATTCCAGCAGCCACACAGGCAGAAGGACTCTACTAAAGGCATCCAGAACCTAAACATCACACCCTGGAGAGCCATTATATTCTTCCTCCTTGACACAGAGTTGTACATGCAACTTTTGAAAGGAGCCTCCTTCTCCTGCAGGCTTCCTGCCACTTCCTATAGCCTTGGTGCACCCACTCCACACTGCTCCTTGTACCTAAGCAGTCCCCACCATGTCCCCATTCCAAAGCCTCCTAAGATGCCTGTACAGCTGTAACCTACAGCCAGTGATCCAAACCTTCCTGTGGAGGAGGGCAAGTCATCTAGTGATTAAAGGTGCCAGATGTCTCAGAGACCCAGCCTTGCCAGCAAATTCACTGTATCACATTGGCCAAGTCACTGGACTTGACGTCAGTCTCTTTCCACAAGAGCTGAGGATATCACAATGCCTTCCCGATTCACCTGGAGGCCAGTGATTAGACTTATTGCCCATGATGCTCATATCAAAAGCACATAGGTTTTTAGATATCACAGGTCTGAACTGTGTGGCCTGAGTCCAAATTAAAGCACCAGCTCCACAAAGCAGGGACCATGTTTGCCCTTACATCTGTGCAGCACCAAGCACACCAATGAATCTTAACAGACAGATTCCCCTCCTCCACCAGGGCTGGAGAATCCTCCCATCCATTCAGCATTTACCTGCACTGCTCATATTACTGGATTTCAGCACTGGTGGTGGCGTGACGTGGTTGGAAATGGCTGTTGAGGAAGGGGGAGGGACAGGAGGAGCTGTGATTTTGCCCCCTGGAGGGGGAGGGAGTAGACTAAGCCCCCCTGATCCAGCCACACGTGGCTTGGGTGGCCCTCCCTTCTTGGTCATATTCTGTAAATCAAAAAAAAAAAAAAAAAAAAAAAAGGACAAAAAAACCCACAAAGATGAGAGGAGTCATCTGTGGCAGGAGCCAGCAATACAGCACTGGTTTAGTCAGGCAGAACCTTACCCCAATGCTCAGCTTGATGGTCTGTCCTTCTTTGAACCCCAGGTCCAGCTTGGGGCGTGTATCTGCTTCCTGGGATTCCTTGGAGATTTCAGACTCCTGTTTCACCCACCTAGAGGAGAGGAACAGCTGAGGCCCCACAGCAAGGAAAAAGAAGATGGCTACCAAGGGGCAATTCAGGGACCATCGGGGGCTCCCCAACTGGCCAACACTAGCACTGCCAATGCCAGGCACCACCACCCTTACTCTACAATGTGGCATCAGAGATTCAAAGCCAGCGTGTCTCCCAGAAGAACAGTACCTTCTGCATAGTGATGCAATGCAGTCACCCCATCATGCCTCACTGCATCTCCATCTGAAAGTCTTGCATATCTCAAAGAGGGGTGTGCGTCTAACACTTTCAGGTGCTAGAGACAACAGAAGCTCCATCACCCTGCTTATAACTTTGAGCTCATACTGTGACTGGCAGCCCATTCCCTCCCCACCATATACCCCAAGTGCCAATAATAAAAGAAGTGAGGTTGCACAAGAGTCCAAGGAAACTGGCCTGGGTGCCACATGTGAGCACCATCAGGAGACCATGGGGCAGGGTAGGGCAGGCAAGACTCACTTGAAGTGATCCTGCAGGGAGACATTGAAGTCAAAAGCATCTCCCCGATCTGTGAAGCCGATGCCAATGAATGCGCTTCGCCCTGGTGGCGAGACAGACGGGTAGTCAACAGAAGGGAGCAGAGAGGGACCAGCACATTCCTTAGCAAGCTCTCCCCTAGACACCACAGCATGTGGGACATGAGCCAGTGCCACATGCTTTCCAGCAGCCATCGAGGCTTTCAATCCCCCATAAACCCAGGGGTTCACTCTGCTAGCTGCAATGCCCATGCTACCCTCAGTAGCATCTCCTGTGATCTCTTCAAGCCTGGATAGGCAGCCCTGCAAGTTGCTTGCTACTCCTAGTCCAACAGACATAGTCAAGTCATCCTTCAGACTGCCCAGTCTACTGCAACCCTCTAAGGGTCATCTGTGGACATGCCACCCCTTCTTACCTCAACCCCAGCCCTCAGAGAGCAGCCTACCACGTGGGTCTCTCAGGCAATAAGCCCTAGTCTGACTTCCTCAGCTTCTGGTTCCTATACTCTGTTCTATAGCATGCTCCTCACCACACCACGTTCCTACTCACCAGTCCCATCCTGAATCCGTATAACAAAGTATCGGCTGGAATCGGTCACTGTCTCCACAGCAATGCCAGGATACTGGTCTATGGGAGCCTGAGCAAACAACTCCCCTGATGGACCAAGAGAGAGACAAGGAGGTGAGAAGAATGGCCCACTGGGACTTTCATAGAAAAGGACAAAACAGGCACATCCCTGAGCACGGGGACCATAGAACCACCTTCCCATCTTACCTGAGACTTTATCTTCTAGCTTTATGTATGCTGTTTTGCCTTTAGAAGTGATGCGGAGCCGCCCTGTCCAGTCTGGATGGTCCAGTTTCCAGTCAGATGCCCTGGAGGGGAAGAGAGAAGGAGCAGCAACTCACGTTCACTGACACCACCTCAACTCTACCTGGCAGTCCCCAGACATCCCTGGGCCAAACAGCGCTGCTGCTTCTCAGTCCCGACCAAAGTAATCCCTAGCTCCCTTATTCTACATCTCTTCTGAAGAGAGGCTCAGGTCCCAAAACCAACCTCGCTCAACTGTGATTAGCTCTTCAGAGGAGGCTCCAAGAGCCCAACCTCACATGCACACTCCCCAGGCAGGCAGAAACTGAACAAAAACATCAGCAAGGCAGACAGCGTTAAACAGAGGCGCACCAGGACACTGGGGGTGGGAAGGAGAGCGAGAGAAAGAAGGCAGGAGTCCAAAAAACATTCAGAGTAGCAGAGCTCTTTAGCTGAGAAAGGTGAAGGCCAACAGAAATTAAACTGGTTTAGAAAAGGAAGCCTCTCTGGCACTGCTATTTCCCTTCCTCTTATAGCACAGCCCTCTGGAGTTAGAAGCAGCAAGTTTATAATGGGCAAGTTACACGTTATACTTCACACATACTTAACACGTGGAAGACTGCTGCAGAACCTTACTGAAGCAAACTGACTAAGGGATTTCAAAAACAGATTCATGTGACCAAGAGCAACATCTGCAGCAAAGCTAGGGATAAAAAGAACTAGGCCCATCGACATCTGTGCGTCGAAACATAAACCGATCAGTGCCGTCACCGTAAAAACATCATCACGGAGATCCACACTTTCATCCTGTGACCCTAGCCTGCCTGTAGCTGAAGTATACATGCAGAGGAGATCTGCTAACCTCTGGGCCAGCAAATCTGCCCTGGGATTGAAAGGTCTCAATGAACTCCCTCCAGTTCCTGCACCACCATTGAGCAGTTCTGGGGGCTGAGCTCGACAGTTAGTTACAGCCCTGTAATCCCACGGCCTCTAGGAGAAGCACAGGGTAACCCAGGGTAGAAGTCAGCCCTGAACTGGAAGAGGCACACTCATTTACAGAGTCTAACACCCTGAATAGGATTAACTAGTTAAATCTCCACGGTGCTGTAACATGGAGAAGAACATCCCCGCAGCAGGAAGGGTGCAAGGCGGCAGCTGGCCCTGGCTGTGGAAGACACCCTGCGCTCTCCCGTGCAGCTGAAGTTGCAAGTGGGGCTTAAACCCTCCAAAAATCAAGCCTCTCAGCACCCTTCTTGGAGGCGGTGGAGGGATCAGAGGGAGAGCAGGATCCTGGACGCCAACGCATAGTCTCCCTGCCTGAGGGGCGGGGGGAGGGTTGTTCATGCAGAACTGCGCTGACCAGGGCAGGAGCCCCGGGAACAGAGCCCAGCTCCGCTCCCATCTCTGCGGGAACAATGGGAAGAAAAGCACATCTCTGTCAGCGAAGAGAGCAGCGCCCGCATGACTCAGAGCGCACACGCAGGCTGCAGCAGGGCGAGGAGATGCTGCGTCCATCAAGCCATCATTCCCCCCATGCCACCCCCAGAAGCTCACTCATCCCCACGCAGGGGCAGTGGCCACCAGGGAAGACGGCCACAGTCTCAAACCCCCAACCCAGGTGGGAGCAGGCAGGAGAGGCCAGCAGACGGGTGGCACTGCCCGGATGGGGGCTCCAAGGAGGGGCGTCTCTGCGGCACCCCACAATTTGCGTTGACCCCGGGCAAAGCCAGGCTGCCAGAGGGGCAGGCCCCGCATCCCTCGCTTTGCCCCTGCAAGCACCAGCCCTGCCCGCTCCCCCGCAGGCCCCGGGGCGCGGCAGGGCGGGAGCTGCCCCCAGCGGGGCGACAAGCGCGGAGCAGCCCCAGCCCGGGACGCGGGAGCGGACAGTCG